ATATGCAAGCGTGTATATAGAGTAAATGCCTTTTTTTTATAAAATTTGTGTCACGTGTTTGTTGGCATTGTCAGTAGCAACACGTGTCGGTAACCGCTGAAATGTGCCGAGCAAAAAAAATAAAGAAAGGACAAATAAAAATTTGGATTTAAACGATTCACAAAAGTGTGCCGGATACAAATTTCCCCAAATTTTGGGAAATGTTGCGAATAGTACAAAAATGAAAACCAAAGAATTCAAGGCATGCTTCTCCTTCTCCTCAGACTACAGGGCTTCCAAGGCGAGCCGATTCAAANATAAGAAAGGACAAATAAAAATTTGGATTTAAACGATTCACAAAAGTGTGCCGGATACAAATTTCCCCAAATTTTGGGAAATGTTCCGAATAGTACAAAAATGAAAACCAAAGAATTCAAGGCATGCTTCTCCTTCTCCTCAGACTACAGGGCTTCCAAGGCGAGCCGATTCAAAATATGTAGGTGAAAAATCTTTGATTTTGCTCGGACCAAAAATAACCCTCATCGGTCCAGCTCCGGCTACGCTGACCACAGTAATTTTACACAGAACAACTTTCTGCGTTGGCGGCCTTCGATTTTTTTCCTAATTTAAAGAGGCTCGCATGAGGAGCCCTGAAGTCGGAGGAGAAAGAAAATTATGCCATTGAATTATTTGTATTTTCTCTTTAAAGCTGGAAAGGAAGAAAGGTGCCACGCACTTTTATTTTTTTGCACCAGACACTTTTCGGAACACAACCCCAAATTTCGTTATAATTTTTAAAGATTTAAAAAAAAGTCTCCATAAATTTTGATTTCTTTTATATTTTTAGGAATTGTTTTTTTTTTATAATGTAAGTATTGAAAAAATTACAAAACAACTTACAATACTTTCAGATTTTCATAAAAAATTGCCCTTAATGAATTTTGGAAGGTTTTAGAGAAAAATACTTTTCGAAAATTTCGCGGTTTTTGCAAATCTTTCATTCACAGATACTTTTTGAGAGTTTCTATGCAAAACTAAAACATTTTCCTAAAGATGGGGTGAAACAATGTTTTAAAAATATTAAATTTTTCTTCTTTTTCTAAAATTTATCAGTTTTTATATGCAATTGTTTTTGGAATTATACGACGGTTTTCAGCCATGTGTAAGATTATTTATATGAAATCTCCAAACAATTTATTTTCGAGTTTTTTTAATGCCAAATTACACTTTTTACAAATTTGCGTAAACGATTTTCCGAAATAAATATTGCAGTGTGAACTGCCCCTCGAAAAATGCAAATCGCCTTCGAGATATAATTTCTTGCTGCACTAGCGATTTTCATATTTGCTAAAAGTGTTATGAAAGCAATCGAGCTGCATTTCTTTATTCATTCTGAACGTTTGGAATAAACTTATTTGTTTACTTATTCTTTAGAACGTTCCTGATGATATGTCAACGTATATTTCAAACGCATTCTGTTTATTCCGGCTGTGAAATGGGATTATCCCGAATGTATAAAGAAACGCAGCCTATGTAAAATAATAAAAATGTGAAATAAAATATCGTACAGACATGTAACTTATTAACTGTTCTGAAACGAAATATTCAAAAGTCGGCATTCTTTTATATTTCATCCTGAAACACAATCCTAAATTTTGTTCATCTCAACTACCCTGTATTAAGTTCAATTATTTTTTCTACTTTTTACATCAAATCCATAAACTTCTTTATGAAAATGTTTTCAATTGCTAATAAGTTTTTCAAATCATAATTTTTTTATATGCACACAAAATTTTGGTAACATAGTAGCTAAAAATCGAAAGATGTATAAGAAAGTTCAATTTTCGGAAATAAAAACTGCTTGCGAAACTCACTTTATACCAGGGTTCGTATTTGCACACACATGCTCTGCTCACACACACGCCAGAAACACATTCAACTTGCACTCACTGCTCATACACATGTGTGTGCATAAGAGGAAAACAAACTCTACTCACAGAAAAGTGTGTGCTGTTTGTTATTAAGCACATGCACATGTGTGTGAGCCAATTTTTGTACAAATTTCAGCCCATGCACATGCACATAATATATTCTTAAAAGAATTTGTTTATTAAACGTTATTTTTTGAAAGACAATTCAATAAAAAGTGAGATGTTGTTTGTTTTTTATATGACAGAAAACATATTAAAAAATTATTTTAAGATTTGAGTTAGAATTCGAAGTGTATAAGTTTCTCTACGCATAGCACACACATGTGCGTGTGCTTTACATTAATAAAAAGAAAGTACACACATGTGCCCGTGCTGTTTACCAAACGGCACACACATGTGATGTGAGCAAATTTTTAATTTTTTATATGCACAGCACACGTGTGTGAGCTTAAAATGTTAGGATGTGCTGCACATGTGTGTGCAAATACGAACCCTGCTTTATACGCAAGGTGTAATTGCTCCTGCAATTACTTTTGAAAATTATTGAGTGGGACAGACAGAAAATTTTCATTTTAATAGGGTCACTAAAAATTTCTTATCACCAGTTTACAATTACAAAAGTAGTAGTTACTGAACATATATTGCACGCATTCCTAAAATCTTATCTTTGTAATTCGTACGTATGCTTTCTAAAATTGTTATTGTCAACAACTTCACACCCACTTGCTGCTAATCTCTGACCGCAATGCTATCAGTGTTTTCGAATACGCCCTCTCGCACCCGCCAAAGTGACTTTAATTGACAACAGAGCGGCTTTGCCTATTTATTTCCCTTCACCCGTCTTCAGCGTAGATGCGAATTTTTGCCTATTCCTTTATCTTACAGTCTCTCGCATTCACAACAATGAGTTTCCCATTTATGTATGTTTTCCAATATCTCACAGCCTTCGCTTAGCCTTTTATGTGCCGCTTGCCCTTTTCATCACTCTCTCATAGATTTTTTCATATTTGTGTGCGCACTCAGCCGCATTATCCTTTCAATTATTAATTTTTATACCTTCTTATCGCCTTGCCGCTTATCGTCGGCAGGCACGTGTTAATTAACCTTCCGCTGTTGGTATTATTGCAGTCACTACCAGTTTTGATTGTGCGAGGACTTATAGCAACCCTTGTCGTGTTAAGAGTTATGCGCTTAGCGCTCATGGAAGAGGCGTGACTTAACAGTAGTAGGCGGATTTGTCAAACGTCCTTTTTTGCCGCTGCACAAATTTATCCGAATTGCGAGTTTTTCCGTTTTCCTTGTGAAAATTTGTCTGGCTAATCTCTCCTGAAACACTTTTTTGCTTGTTTTTGGGCCTTATTTCTTGCGTTAACTGATGGAGTAGAGTGGAGAAAGAGGTTAGACCTTTTTCTTTACAAAAAAAACTGTTGTTTTAAGTTTGCAGGGTAGCATAGCCGCCATTCGAACAAGAAAGAACTAAAAAGTCTAAAAATGATTTTATGGTAATTAGGACCCTCCGATATTAATATCTTTACGGGTAAAATATAAAAAGTTAGCAAAACTTTGAACCGTAAAGTCTCGACATCTAAAAATTTATTATTTACCAAGAAGACGAACGGCTTCTTGGAGATAGAAAAAGGGCTAGTGTTGGTTGCAGCTGGTGTAAACGTGCCAGGAACAGTGGGTCGTCAAGTCAACAGTTTTCAGGCTGTTAGGCCGATCTGGAATGTGTTTTTAAAATCGAAAAAGACGTACGAAGACTATGCACGGCCATAACATGGATTTTAGAAGACTATCCCTTACGACTTAGGACTATCAAATATAGGCAAGATTTCTATTTCAGTTTGATTCGATATTCGATCAGCAGATTCCAAATGTATGAAGGAAGTCTAAATGTATCACTCTAGAGTTAAATTTCCTATGTCCTTGTTGGATTTGATCACAAAACCAACAGTTCGTTTTCCCAATCTTACCGTCGGAAAATTGTCTATGGAAGTCGATTGCTTCCTGCCTTAATCTGACGCCATTTGGCTAAAATCTGTAGATGCTATACATAGATATAGACCACTTATTTTGCCAATTTAACAGGTTGTAAAGTCTGTTTAATTAAATTTTTGGCAGCATGGTGTCGTGAGAAATATTTAGGGATGACCATCAATGGTGATATGACTCCCCTGAGTTTTCAAGATGAGATAGGAGGAAATAGGATCAGTTAAGACGAGTTCAGCTGAGATAATTTAACATAAAATCAAATGAGATAGGGGAAGTCGAGACGAAATAAGATGAGATGGGACGAGAAGTTAAAGTTATATACCTAACATGGGGTAAGGTGAGATAGGATTTTTGCTGGCCCGTAGAAAGAAATTCGGTCTCTGGAAAATTTTAGAGTCTTCTCTGGATGTAATCTAACAGAATAGCTGGTTTTGTAGCTTCTGAAATCTTCCTTATTTCCTCTGAAGCTTTGCAGTCACGCAAACTATTTTCTAAAATCTTACGTGGTTTATAAAGTCTTCTTGTCTTACTGTGTAGTTTATGCGTCCGAAAAACTTTATCCCCTATAGATTAGATTGTGCCAAACAGGCTTATAAGTCAAAGTGGATTTACCCAAGCTCCTTCAAATCTAAATCTAATCTCCACACAATACCTGAAAAAATACTCACAATAAATTAATAAATAAAATCAATCAAATGCTAACGGCGGGGAATGAGAAGAAAAAATAAAGCTAATAGCTTAATTAATGGCGCACAATGACAGCATGCGAAATGCCGGCCGATTAAAAATTGAAGCAAAACAAAAAACGTAAAAATAAATAATCACAAAGAAAATACAAATATAAAAATTAAAAAAAAAAAAAACACCACGCGGCTATTTTAATGTGTTTGTATATTGCGGCAATCTTGGAGCGCTCAACAGTTGGGGGCGCAGCCATATGGTCATCGTTTGCGGGGTAGCGCTGTGGTGCCGCGCAACACATACCTCCGAACAGCGAGCACATCGGCACTTTGTAAGCGATACACTTGTTGACGCTCCAGCTGATAGCGCTAACTAGAAGTTACGCGTAGCTTTTGTTGCACTTTAGCAAGCATGCGATCTGCTACTAACGCCAGTTGCTTGAATTAAGTCGATCGAGGCGAGCGCGTTACGCGGATAACACAGAATTTGTGTAAATAAACACTGGACTAGATTATTTAAATACACGAAAGAAGAAATTGGAACAAGTGATGTATTTATTCGCCACCGCATTTGGCGGGTTTGCCGCTTTCTTGTTATTCCTTGTGCTCATCATTGTATTGCTGCGCTTGAAGTCACAGCTGATCTTTGGCATCTACCCTGCGAAGGGACTCTTCTATCAACTCAAGTACATCATCGCCTTGTTGCTGGTGAAGCGCCTGCGTCATCGCGTCTACCACAAGAAGGACGAACTCAACTCACCCGAATTTCTTGCACAAATGGACCGTCCACAAGCGTTGAGCGACAATCCACAAAGCTACGATGTTGTCTCTTTCATGGGCGCCAACGAGCAGGGTGAGAAAGTGTTTGTAACATTGGAGCGTCGTCGCCGTGGTGTGCTGAAGGCCTGCCTATATCTGTATCTACCCGAGCATGGCTTGTTTTGCACGCCCAAGCTGCCGGACATGCTTTACTTCACGACAGATGGTACACGCGAGAATGAGGAATTCAAAGGTTGTGGCTTCCACATCTACCCGGAGGAGTCGATGCGCCAATGGCGTATACGCTATGAAGGTGAGCTGCGGCCGGCATCGGACGAGCGTAAGTGCCTGCCAGTGCAGCTCAATTTGCAGTTCACCACTCAAGCACCTTTCTTCTACTACAATCGCGATCTTAGCTCTGCGGTTATTGCGGATTCGGTAGCGCGCGAGGCTTGGAATGACGCCTTCTACAATCTGCTCAAAAATGTCCCCGAAATGGTAGAGAAGCGCATACACTATGAGCAAAGCGGTCAGCTGGTGGGCGAAGTGCAACTAGCTGGACGTGACTTGCCGCTGAAACTGCGCGGCTTTCGTGATCACAGTTTCGGTACCGAACGTTGTCTATCCAATATCAACCGCTATGTCTATGTGGCGCTTTTTCTCGCCGATGGCACCAGCATGGTAGTGGGTAATCTCAGTCAGCCATCCTTCTTTCTCTCCTCACTCAAAGTTGGTTATGTGTGCACACCGAAGGGCATTTACGAGCCGATAACAGGTTGCAATTTTGAGTTGTACACTTATGGCGAAAAGGGTACTCCACCACGCCACAAGAATTTCATAGTGCAGACCGCAAAGTCGAACTACTTTGTGCAAATTGAGGAACAGCAATCGACGGTGCGTTATCTGGGCGCAGATTGGGCTTCGAAGATCTATAATCAGTTTGTCGCATGCACGGTAAATGGCGTGAAAGGACAAGGAATCACGGAATATTTGTATAGGAATAAGCACGGCGAGCGACCCGAAGCGGTGAGCGCAACAGATCCGGAGTGGTTTCGGCGTGTGAAGAGCTTTGAAAGGAGTTTGAGCCAAGGCGAGTTGGAGGATGATGACGAAGTCTTCTTTTTTTGAAGCAAAATGACAACAGCTGTGAGTTAAAAACCAAAAAAAGGACAGGTCTTTTTTAAAGCCGTATATGTGCCTTAAACGCTGCGACACTGTGCAGTGTCTACAAAATACTTACTTAAAAAGGACTGAACATTTTCTCTTTTATATGCTTGCCAAAAGATAAAATTAGCTATAGTGCGCCAAAAAGTCAGTTATAGTTGGGGTATTCACAAGTCGTAAGTGTCGTATTGTTGCGTGTCGTAAACGTTTTTAACGGCTGAAAATATATTCAAGGCTTTCGAAAGGTACTTACCATAAAAGTCTTATGAAGAATTTTTAAGCTTTTAAAATAGTTGGTTGTGGTTTCAAGTCCTCTAATGGTGAAAAGCTTTACTACAAAAGACAATACGATACTTATGACACTTTGTGAACCACATAAGTATTTTATTAAGTAATTTTAAGTGCGAATTGTTATTTATTTTAATAAAAATAAACGAATGAATATTAAGTGTTTTTTTTATTCGGTAAAAGTTTTAAAAATACTTTTATATGAATGTACATACATACAGTGTCGGACAAAAGTATTGGAACAGAGAATTTTTCGCAATATCTGCAAAGTTTTTTATTCTAATTTATTTTCGATAATTTTTTACACTCCATCTAATTTTAGGATCACAAAGTGCAAGCTTGAAGTTGCTGAAAAAATCGCTTTGATTTTTAGAAATTATTTCTCACTCAGGTTTGTCCATACAAAGTATGTTCGACAATTATTTTTTGTATGGAGGATGTGAGCAACACTTTCCACTAAAAAAATTGCCAAAAATCTATGCGATTTTTTAGATACTTCAAACTTGCACTTTGTTATGCTAAAATTGATTGGGCTTTAAAACTGCATACTTACAATTTTTCTATCTATCTAAAATCTGAAGAGAAAGTTGCAAATTAGTATGCAAATTTATTGAATTTTCCTGAGTTTTGCACAAAGTTTAGAGATTTGTTTTTATGTTTTTTTTGGGGAAGTACGACCTGTATATTGATTAAAAAATATTTAAAATAAATTAGAATAAGAAACTTTGCATACATTACGAAAAACTCTCTGTGCTAATACTTTTGTCCGGCACTGTATATAATTACATACGTAATTTTTTCAGTAAATGCATCTCCGGAGATTTGTTATTGTTCTAGCAGCGAAAAAAATTCCACAAAGACCAGATATAGATTTGTTTCGTTCCAGATTTAACAGTCGTGACCGGAGCTTTGTAGTTCTCTTCAGAGAAAATAGCATGAGTACTATTTGAATCCGGACAAGACTCGAAATATTCCAAATTATTTACTGCTAGGAATGACCAAAATTTGTACGAAATATACTTTCCAGGCTGGAGTTTTTTATTAGCTCCATAATAATTAAAATCAATAAACATAATAAATTTAATATTTGACCAAAATCTCCTTTGACAGTATTATAAACGGTAATCTGGCAAGCACATCCGCCTTGAGGCTTCCTGTTAGTTTCTGTGCTTCAATATGCTGCTCTCTACCAAGAATGATTTGTTCTCTACATACATCGTGGTACTCTGCCTATATTCCTCTCTTACATAAAAAAACGTTGTCATAGGTCTTCGTTCATATTTCATTCGTAGTCAAGTCTGCAATTCTAAACCAGTTAATGGAAAACTTGAACTGGTTATTTTTCCATAGCAAAAAAATGCTCTTAGAGACAAAAAAACTGGCTTGGAAAGCGAACCTTCTCTGGATAAATTTATTTTTCCTTCTTCAACCATCAGCAGCAACTGCAAGCTTATTTACCTAGTGCGTTAATCTATGAGTTCAACTATCACACAAATAACTTGAAATTATAATATTTTAGCTCTTATTTCTGATTTATTTTCCCCATTATTGATAACCCAATGACGTACTTACTCCCATGACACAGATTTACGAGTGAAGTTTTTATCAATCTGGATTATGTGATTTATTTATTTTTTATTATGTGATTATTTAAATGAAATTTTCAGCTGTTTAGTTCTTGCCAGAAAGCCTGAATATCCATTCAGTGTCTACTTTCTTAGCCCTTTTATTATCGAACTTGAAATACGTTTCTTTTGTTTCATAATCATAAACATGAGAGGCATATGGATTTATCCCCATTGTAAATTAATATAAATGCATCGTATAAGAAAAATATAAATAATATTGATTAGCCGCTGCTTATCAATGAAAACAAAAAAAAATAATTCCTTAGATTAGTGAGAAGTATTCACTGTCAGGTGTGGCTACTAAATCAAAGAGAATTTATTAAATAGAAGCGGATGCATACGTAAATATGTACATAAGTATGTAGGCTAGATTTCTATAGAAATAAAAGTATATCATATAGATTTCTACATTTCCTTGGCGTTTTCATTAACGCTTATTTGCAAGTATGTTTTACTCGTATTTTAATTACCCATTTTATTTTGTACGAATATTTACAAAACTAGCCACTTATTGTACTACAACCTACAGTAGCGATCTAATTAGTTCGTATAATTTCCGCTTAACAATCTCTGTAATTGTATGTACTACTGACCTATAACCTCACTGAGCATCAATTTTAGTAGAATCAAGTATGACAACGCAGCAACGAAACCAGTTTTGCTATAGAAATTCTTTTATTATAATTGTTCTCTCAACGAGATTTGAATCAAAAGAGGTTTAATAAAAAAAGAAATCTCTGAATGAGACATCTCGGACGTAACCGGTTGTGCATTTGTTAGCGGTCATCTACATGCTTTAATAATTTTGTAAGAAAGGAAGGAACAATTGGAGAAATTTACATAGGGTTGGATAAGATAGGTTATATAGGTTAGGATATTAAGGATAGGGTACGAGGGGATACGGTAAGATATGCTAAATTGTATAAGATAAGATGTGATAGGATGGGATAGGATAGGATATAATGTAATAGGATAAGATAGGGTAGAGTATAGGTTGGGGGAAAAAAGATTCAGATAAGAGAGAAAAGGGGAGAAGAAAATAGGATGGATTTACATAATGGAATAGGAGGGGATATGATAAGATAGAATAAGATAGGACAGGATATACATATATGATAGGAGAGAAATTTGCTAATAGAATAAGAGTGCATAGATTAGTAAATAAAAAGATTAGATTAGCTTCTTACTTTGCTGCCTAAGATTCTAATATTTTCACATTTTCTTTGAACATCAACATAGTCGAAGGAAAAAATATCTACTTTTCGTTTCGTTTAGTT